CTTCACCGAAGACCTGCCAGAAGTCAGTATTGGCGAAATCGAGATTGCTCTTGGACAGCTTAAAAATGGAAAAGCCCCAGGAGAGGATGGTGTTACAACAGAACTCTTGAAGGCTGGAGGTAAACCCGTACTGAGGGAGCTCCAAAAGCTTTTTAACACTGTCCTGTTCGAAGGGAGAACTCCGGAGGCGTGGAGCAGGAGTGTGGTCGTCTTGTTCTTTAAAAAGGGGGACAAGACCCTACTTAAGAACTATCGACCCATATCCCTTCTAAGCCACGTCTATAAGCTGTTCTCAAGAGTGATCGCGAACCGTCTTGCGCGAAGATTTGATGACTTCCAACCACCGGAACAGGCTGGGTTTCGGAGCGGATACGGCACCATAGACCACATACACACAGTGCGGCAGATTATACAGAAGACTGAGGAGTACAATCAGCCCCTGTGCCTAGCATTTGTGGACTATGAGAAGGCCTTTGACTCGATTGAAATCTGGTCTGTCCTGGAGTCCCTACAGCGTTGCCAAGTCGACTGGCGATACATCCAAGTGATAAGATGTCTCTACGAAGCCGCCACCATGTCTGTCCAAGTACAGAATCAGCAAACAAGTCCCATACCGTTGCATCGTGGAGTGAGACAAGGGGACGTTATTTCCCCGAAATTGTTCACTAATGCAATGGAGGATATGTTCAAGACGCTGAACTGGAAACGACATGGCATCAACATAAATGGCGAACGCATCTCTCACTTGCGATTTGCAGACGACATCGTCATCATGGCAGAAACCCTGCAGGACCTACAACAGATGCTGAATGACCTGGCTGACTCTTCTATACGCATCGGCCTACGGATGAACTTGGATAAAACCAAGGTCATGTTCAATGAACATGTTCTACCGGAACCGATTGCAATACACGGTGCCGTTCTCGAAGTTGTTCAAAAATATGTATACCTCGGGCAGACATTGCAGTTAGGTAGAAACAACTTTGAGGACGAGGTGAATAGAAGAGTTCAGCTAGGTTGAGCAGCGTTTGGGAAGCTACGTCAAGTCCTGACATCGTCGATCCCACAGTGCCTAAAGACGAAAGTCTTCAATCAGTGCGTCCTACCTGTGATGACATACGGAGCCGAGACGTGGACACTGACGGCACGGCTGATCCACAGGTTCAAAGTCGCTCAACGCGCTATGGAAAGGGCTATGCTCGGCGTTTCTCTGAAAGATCGCATCAGAAATGAGGTAATCCGACAGAGAACCAGAGTTATCGACATAGCCCACCGGATTAGCAAGTTGAAGTGGCAGTGGGCTGGCCATATTTGCCGAAGAACCGATAACCGTTGGGGTAGACGAGTTCTGGAGTGGAGACCGCGTCTAGGCAAACGTAGTGTAGGACGTCCTCAGGCACGATGGAGTGACGATTTGCGCAAGGCGGCTGGCAGGAGCTGCGAGGATGCGAGTAGCCCAAGATCGATCTGAGTGGCGTGCATTTGGAGAGGCCTATGTCCAGCAGTGGACTATGATAGGCTGTTGATGATGATGACCCTTCTGATGAAGGTTGTCTTTTAGGTTACACAAATATATTTCCGACGAGGTAAAACGAGGGTCAAAAAATTAAACGTTAAAAATAATAGCTGCAACAAGGTGTATATGAATAACACATAAACACAAAACGCCCTCCCAGGAGGCGGGGTGTAATTTAAAAAATGGTGCGCAGTTGTTGACTTAATTAAACTCGGAAATGTGACCGATGAAAAAAGGGTCTCCATATTTGTAGCAAGACGAACCGACCCGTTGACAATTAAGTACAGGGCACGGTAAATTGAGATCGCTCACAACTCAAAACGTCCCACATTTCGCGCGGATTCCCTGGTTATTTGTAACGTATATTCCGGGTTACAAAGGATACTTTAATTTAAAATGCGCCTTACAGTTGCTATAAATTGTATTCTTAATATTGATGATATTACATTTGTAACAGTAAACAAATGTGTGGTTAGCGCAACAAATGTCTTTTATTACTTTGTAAGATGCAATTATTTTGCGTTACTTTAAAACCAAATTAATAACAATAATTATCATGTTAACAAAAAATCAAAAAACAAAGTCGAATATATATCTACTACGTTTACTGATTTGTACACTGAAATCATAAAATCATATTTGCAGATTAGCGAACGATTCCTACATATTACCATCCGCAAAAAAATATACTTACCTTTTCAAGTAATCATCAACAAACAAATGAAAAAAAACTTTGGTATCCTTATTTACTTATCAGCCACAACAACAAAGTTAAAAGAATCGGTATTCAACAATTAATTTATTTTCTCAGACGTCTGTGAAGGTATTACACAACATTTTTAATATTCACAATGAGACTTTATATCATAGTGAAATCGTCGGTCGGGACCACAAGGCCGAACGCGGCGCTGTCTCCCCGCGGTACGCCTTCATTTACTAGCTAAAATATAAAAACTCATTAACTAAATGTAGTTAAACTAAATTTAGAACCTACGATTGTTAGGTGGGTATGCTACGAATGAAAACTATCTAGTTTCAATGCCGAGTTAGATTGTTAGCATATTATTTTACATATTTAAGCAATAGACAACAATTCTATTTCTACTTGCCGAACAACAAAGCCGACCCGTAGTAATTATTACAGAACATCTACCTACACATATTCGATTTTACCGCCCGGCTGTGCCGATTAATGCCGGCCCGCTTATGTATGTAGCCACCCTGACTTGAATAAACAAGACCTGAATTTTGGAGATTTCCTTTTCTTGAATCTAGAGATATTAAACTGGATTATTATTCTTACATTATTCGCTGTTCTAATATTTTTTAATTCTTTTCGGATCGGAGAAAAAGCTATGCCCTTCTCTTCCGTGCTCCTCGATCAAACATTTTCTTACCATTATAATGTCATCCATCTTTTCTTCGGTCTTCTTTCCCTGCTTTCTATTTCTAGACTACTCTTCTTTCTCCGTAAAGAGTATTAGTAACACGTTAAAGTTCGTTTGACCGGTTTAAGTACCAGCACCCCGTTCGCTGTTGGGTGAACCGTCTGAATTTAGCACTCCCAAAGTTATAAATGCCGTTAGAGTACAGACAACTTGTGAAATGTGATTTTGATTATATAATCTGCGAATCTTGCACCTAATTTCCAACTAAACCAAACAAACTAAAATGAATTGAATAAAATTAAACGTATAGACAGCAGACAACTTTATTATAATATTTTTTTAAGCATTTATCTGCTATTTAAATCTAATGAAATTTTTACTAGAAAGAATTCCACGGGGTCCAGTTAAGATACAGGACCCCGAATTGTGAATTGTGATTTTGATTTGTAACCTGCGAATCTTGCACCTAATCTAAATTTTAACCCAAAATTAATTGAATCAATATATATATATATACATTACATAACTTATGTAAATGACGTAGTCAATCTCATTACAAAATGCGAAATATATCAATTCGCTGATGATACCTGTCTTGTTTCTGGTAATAGAGACTTAGGTGTAGCTCTTAAAGACCTACAAGATGAATTCACCTTACTTTCCAAATAGTCCCATGATGTTGGTCTAGTTCTAAATATCAGCAGCTGTACATTAGCAGTAGTCATAATAGAAATTATAAGGATATTAAACTGATAGCCCATAGTCACAAGTTACATACGAATAACCACAAATGTCTGTGTAATCCCATTGAAGTCGTGAATAAACAGAAATATCTGGGATTAATAATAGATGATATATTAAAATGGGTCGATCATATTCATTATGTATGTAACAAATTGCGAGCAATACTATCTAAATTTGTATCAGTTAGAAACAAAATTCCATATTCCATACTTTTGCAATTATATAAGGCATTGGGAGAAACGATTATAAGCTATGGTATAAGTAGCTATGGAAGAACTGTAAAATCACATTTGGACCTTATATACAATATACAAGTAAAAATTTTAAAAGCTATAATAGTACTTACCTAATAAAATTAAAATTAAATTCAAAAACAATATAAATGAACTCTTCTACCACTGTAACGTTTTGCCTGTACACGATCAAGTCAAATGTAATCTGATCTCTGAAAACTATTTCAATGAAAACTTTCGTATTATAAAGCAGCACATTACGCAAACCCGTAGTGCATCAGCACTTACATTCAATATCCCAAGATACAATAATCTTTATGGTAGGCAATTATTACAGTTTCAGATACCCAAGTTAATTAACGAATTACCAATATAAGTAAAAAAAGAAATTAGTGAAATTAATATTAAGAACGTACTAAAAGGATATTATTGCTCACAGTTATTGAAACAAGAATAACATATTTAATATAGTAAAATTTAATGTTTTTCAACACCATAATAGAGTAACAGTATTTAGTAAAATTTGATGGGGAACCAGCCCGTGTGAACAAACTCATTGCTCTGTTAGGGGTGACCGCCGACAACTCGTAGAAAGAGGGTAGATGCAGATGCGAAAAAAAGATCTAAAAGATGACGAATCCCAGTGCTCGGTAAAACCTACACAGGTTTTTATAGCACTGGCTAAATGTATTGTTATTATTTATCATCATCATCAGCCTATTAATGTCCCCACTGCTGGGGCACAGGCCTTCCCTATGGATGAAATAGGGAGATTGGGCCATGACCCACCACGCGGGCCCAGTGCGGGTTGGTGGGTGCTAACGACTGCAGATGCAGCCGGGACCAACGGCTTAACGTGCCTTCCGAAGCACGGAGGAGCTCGAGATAGTAAATTTTCGGTCACCCATCCAATGACCGACCACTGCGAAAGTTGCTTAAATTCAACGATCGCAGCGGAACGCGCTAACCACTTGCGCCATCGAGCTCCTCGTTATTATTTATAGTAATGTGAAATTCAATAAAAAAAAATTATCATAAATAGCTGGTAAACGTATTCTATGACTGTAATTTTAAATTCCCAGTGATTGTGTGAATAAAATATGCTCTCTTTGGTTCCAGTGACCTTTAGCACGATGTGGCGGAGCGGACAAGCAATGCGGGCGGGTTGATCATCGCTCCACATGCCGACAACACTCTGCAGTCAGCAGAAAGGTGATTACTATATTTATATTTTAAGCTGATTTCTTTATCAGCGGGTTTTTTATTTTATCTTCCCGCCGTGTCCCGGATGGGGTAGGCAGAGAGAACATAGCACCATAAGGCACGGGCACGGTAATATTATCTTTTATCGCGAACGGGACGGCGAGATCCGCGTCACTGCATTACCGACCCGAACGAAACAAGCACGTTAAGTTTCAACGGCAGCGCGAACGAGACGGGGAGATCCGCGTCACTGCACTACCGATCAATCACGCGACCAGTATTTGACGTCACTACCGAATAAGATTCAAAATTTTTATGAAAAAATATATTTTATAGTACTTACGAATGAAAAGTGATGCTGTGGGTGTTATTTTTAGTTCTTGAGCTATTTGAGCACTTTTTAAAAACACACTTAGGCATTGTTTTATCATATAATCACAAAATATTAGCAATATTTCTTTTTGGCGTTCACATGTACGTCGTTTGCATGTCAAGTTGTGACTCAAGCGATTAGGGTCGTGGACCACAATTCATGCGGATCACTTTTGTGAGGCTAGTGCCGTATCTACCCTTTTTGTTTTAATCTAAGGCATACACACAGCTTTCGCTCCATTTTATACACCCCATCCGGTGTGTGCAGCCATATAGGATAAGTGGAGTTCAGCATACGTACGCTGTATAATGTAATCTCACTTACGATCTGATTTAATGGGATTTTTGCCAAATGACAAATATCTATTACTGGCTACTTCAACAGACATTAATGCCGTAATTCATATAAAACTGATGTCTAAAATAGCAGCTAGCGAATTCGGAGGTGAGATTTCATTTACAGAATCTTATCTTACCCTACAGTCGTGAAAACTGCTGATACGACAGACTATATAATATGCCGCTTCATTCATCCTCATTTTTTACAGAATTTAAAGTGGACAATTAAATGAGTTTTCACTGTTCATTTTCACACAAAGGATTTATCGCCGTATTAATTCCGTACTGGGAAATGCCACACTTACTGTATGTTTTTCTTGTTTGAGGAGGAAATAAAGCGAACTTCTCAATAAAAAGATTTGAAGAACTTGGTAAACTATTGCAATTATAACACACTTAAATTGAACACAGATAAATGTGCAGTAATTACTTTTACCCGGAAGAAAATGCCAATTAATTATAACTATAAATTAACTAATTCTATTCTCACAAAAAAACCGAGATGGTTGACCTTGGGGTAATTATTGATGATAAACTTATTTTCAGTAACCATATTAGCAATATTGTTGCAAAATCGTATAGAATGCTAGGTTTCATCATGCGTATTGGAAAAGAATTCCGTTGCGCATCTACTTTGATATTACTGTATAATGCATTTGTGAGACCACACCTTGAATATGCCTCTTGTGTATGGAATCCACAGTATAATACATACATTGATGCTATTGAAAGAATTCAACACAAATTTGTAAAGTACTTAGAAAACAGAATTAATGTTAACTTGATTATTAATGATTGTGAAGCAAAGTTACAGGTTACATCCTTGCAACATCGCAGAACTGTCAGAGATCAATTATTTCTTTACAAACTTATTAATGACCTTGTAGATTCGCCGTTCCTTTTGCAGAGGATTGGTTTCCGTTGTCCAAATAGAACTAGGTCTGACAACACGTTTGTAATACAATTCAGCAGGACCAAGTTTGCTGCAAATAGTTTCATTTCTAGAGCATGTCACAGCTATAATAAATACTTCAGGGGATTGGATATATTTTGCCTTTCTTACAACCAATTTAGAAATGAATGCTATAAGGTTGTTTTATCCTAACACTTAGTAATTATTTTTTTCTTTTACTCACACAATTCTAAATATTGTACGTAATATTAAGCAAATTATGTAAGTTTATGAATGTTTCAGTCTGTGGAAACTTAACTGGTTTATGAAATAGTAATAGGTGTTACTTAATTGATTGTGTAAAACTGTATGTTTCCCAAATGAAAATAAAATAAATAAAAAAATAATAAATAAATAAATAAATGTATATTTTCAACTTCGTTACATTAATTTTAGCGTTCATGGGCTTAGTGGGCGTCATTGGGGCTTGATACAGGCACAAAACCAAACAATCACTCAATCACTGTTCGTACAATTCTAGTTACGTTCTTTTAACAAAAACAAAATAAAAATGTTTCACACACACTTTACTTTACACTAAGGACACTTAAATAAAATAACAACCGAGCAGCGGGTTCAAGGTACCAATCTGACTTCACTGAACTACCGAATCACCTTTCTAGTAATGAACCGCTACGATCAGTTCCTCGCCTTTAAATACGCGCAAAAACTACCTCTCACTTGTGAAAATCAAGATGGCGCCTCGACCCCACTCGAGGCACGTGCTCTGCTCTGATTGGACGCGACATAAAATGATTTATTAGCGACTTTTATTCAATTGCTAAGTTACTGAACAATACAAAAATTGTAATTAATTGAAATCAAATTAAATTAAGATTTTATAAAATTATTTAAAGTGTAAACAATAGCCTTTTCACGCTTGGCATTCAACAATCAACCATATTCATCACATCCTTCGACATATATATATGTAATCTTAGAGGAGTCGAAGTTGGACACCCTTGGTCAAGGAAGTGCTCCGCCACTCGTGCGTTCGGGTTTTATATTGATATACAGCGCCATCCCGTCTGTTCCGGTGATAACTGCTTCCAATGGTGACAGATTGTTGCCAGATGAAGCACGCCTTTGTTCGTGCGTTGTTACGTCCGGTCGCTAGATGGAGCTATTCATGAACATGCCGGCGGGCCTTGAGAGCTGTGCAGTTGCTCTCAACAACGTTGAACAGATGTGTTAGTAAATGCATCTTCCTCCTTTGTTGAAACTGGCAAGGGACATATCTTCGGAAACGCTCTCTCAATGACTCCATTAGCTGTCCTTATACTGGCTACTCGGGGAACGCCGTCTTTCCCTGGAAACACAGACAAAATTCTTCCCAAACGCCACTTTAATGGAGGTAGATTATCTTCTTTGATGAGCACTAAAGTGTCAGGTGCTAATATTCCTTTTGATTCCTTCCACTTAGTGCGAGTCTGTAGTTCCCCAATATACTCGGTTGACCATCGCCTCCAAAAATGTTGCCTAAGCTGCTCGATGCGCTTGTACCGGGATAATGAGTGTGATGGAGTGCTTGTGACATCCTCGCTTGCTTGTGAGGTCAGCGATCGGCCGATCAGGAAGTGTGCCGGAGTGAGTGGGGTAAAATCTGTTGGGTCTGAGGACAGAGAATACATAGGACGGGAATTCAGGACAGCTTCGATTTGTGCCAAAACTGTACTAAACTCCTCATAAGTTAAATGACTATTGCCTAACACTCGGGTGATGTGGTGTTTACTGGATTTCACCCCTGCTTCCCACAAACCGCCAAAATGAGGTGCGTAGGGTGGTATGAATTTAAATCTATCCCATTGGATGAAGCATAATCAATTATTGATAGAGACTCGCCACATAAGAAATTTGCAAGTTCCCGTTTAGCACCCACAAAATTCCTACCGTGGTCAGAAAAAAACAAAGTGGTTTTCCTCTACGAGATATAAACCTTTTTAATGCTAAAATATAGTATTCAGAGGTTAAATTGGTAACAAGTTCCAAGTGCAAAGCCTTAGTAGTAAAGCAGACAAACAAACATAAATAACATTTTTCAAGCTTAGAGCCCCTTCCCTTTCTATTCAATATATAGAATAGACCAGCATAATCAACACCACTATTTATGAAAGGAAAATCAGCCTTTACGCGTTCCTTTGGTAGATTTCCCATTATTGGTTTCACTGTTTCACCCTTCATACGAGTACAGATTTTACACTGTAATATAGTTTTTCTAGCCAGGTTTCTACCACCAAAAGGCCACCAGGTCTCCCTAATGTGCGCAAGTAAATGTTGAGGTCCAGCGTGTAATAGCCGTAGGTGCTCTTGTTTGAAAATCAGCTGTGTTACATAATGCTTACCACACAACAGCATAGGATGCTTCTTGTTGTATGAGAAATCAGGCGAATTAAACATTCGACTCGGATCATATTATTGTTATCTAAAAACAAATTTAAACTTAATAAGCCACGAGATGATTTTATTGGAATTTTACTTAATAAAGCTTGGCTCAGCTTTCCATTATATGTAATTGAGTTGCAAGCTGAAATTTTTGTCACGCAAAGTGTTAACTATTAAAAACACGTACACGAAATCTTTTTAGGCGGAAACGAATAGAACTCTAAAAAAAAAATATTGAAAATTAATATTTTTGTAGGTTATGAGTCAATTTTGACAGCAATTTTGATCAGTGCTGCCATTTTTTTATGCAGAAATAACATGTTTCTCGTTGTCTATGGTAAATATAAGTTTATTATGTTGGTACTATTGTCAAAATGTGACAATTTACCGCCATTAATGAGATCTGCCAGTCAGTGTTTGTGTTCGTCGCAGTTGAGAGCTTTTTCGTACTCCTGTTGATATTAACGTCGTCTGACTACCATGGCATCCTCAAAGCCTCCGACCTCGAGTTCTGCTGGCCCTTCGCCTGAAGAGTCGAGTTTTGGACTCTAATGAGCCGCTTGTGTGGTGATACTTCACACTAGGTTAGGTTAGTGTTGTGACCTTAACGCGCGAGCCGAGCGAGCGAAGCGAGCGTGCCGCGGCAGCGGCCGGCGAAGCGCCAGAAAGAAAAATTCGTTAATAGAGACTTTTTCTACAAAAAAATCAAATATCATCTCTAGGCCCTGGACTGGAAGTACAGTTTTACCTTTAAAACCCCTCTAATTTTTTATAATTATCATTTCTGTAAAAAAACGCCGGGAGGGGGGAGGGGAATTTACCCTTCCCTCTGAGGGGTCTTCCCTAATACCTATCCACCTGAAATTCCACTACATTTAATAGATTTAATGAATTTTTAGGTTAGGTAAAAAAAAAAACTGCATTTCCGCCAAAAATCTTTTATGGCGGGGGGGTCGGGGGGAGC